ACACCACAGTGTCCCATTGTCCTCTCTTAGTGATATTAAGACTGAGTGGGTTCCTGCATTCCCAGCCTGACTCATCCACTATAGAGGCTCCGTCAACCTCTGTCTTCGTGCCCGTAGCATCTGTTGGTGATCGTTGCCTGGATTCTTTATTCCACTAGGTGTTTTAAAAAAATAATTTTCTAGTTCTATCTAGTTTCTCTTCCTTCTACTTTTATTAGCTTGTATTCATCTATAAAGAAGAACTTTCTCCCATCAACCATTTGTGTACTCTAAAATGAGGTTTATACAGAAAAAAACAAGACATATATTTCTTTCCTTGTATCAATTTTTAGAATAAAGAGTTAGTGGTCTGGTCAGGTTTTTTTTGTTGTTTTAGGATATTTATGAGCTTAGGAAATTTTATATATTTGATGTGCTTCAATCGATTCTAGTCATCTGTTTGATGCTTAAATTGTCCCACTGTAGACCAGTGGGATACCCTTCAGAAGGTTCCCTTTGTCCTTTTGACCTTGACACATCAGTTTTTGCAATTTTCTTGTGGAACAGGATGCCCCAGGCTCACCCTTTCCTCTCTAGCCCTGGGGTCAGCTCTCTCTAAGGATCCCTGGTTCCTGCAGGGTGATGCTGCTAGAGTTGTCAGTATCAGGGATTTTTCATTTTGGGCATCATATAAAATGACATTCATTTTTATTTCAAAATCAGTATGATGAACAAAAATTAAATTTATATTTAGATGTCTTGATTCATGAGTTTGATGCTTAAAGTGACTAGCCATAGGGATTCCATCAATTGAATGAGCCAGCCTACAGGAAAAACCTGATGACAAGCAGGCTTTCTAAATCTCCTGATAGTATTCAAGCCTTTGTACCCAGGAGGAGGAGTGAGATAAGGTTAAGCCTTGTTTAACCCCATCATGGACCACTGCCCATGCCCAAGATCCAGTGAAGGTGTTTGGAGGATGGGCCCTGGCTCCCCTGTTCCAGGACCACTGTCAGCCAACACTGATGGGGGATTTGGAAACCAGTGCAGCAGGAGCATCATTTCATAACCCTTGAGTTCACGACGCCCTGTAAAAATTTGCTGTATGCACCGACGGGCGGATCTCCTGCTGGCTACTTAGAAATACGTGTCTTTGTGCATCTTTCCCTCTTACTCTGAACCATCAAAAAACCTACCAAATGCAAAGAAATACTTAATCCAAGTGATTTTAAGCTGTTTTAAAGCCTGTGAATTAAAGTCCAATTATGTTGGGCCATTTAAATGTTTACTGTGAAATTTAAAAACAAAATGATTATAAAAACTTGTAAATTTAAAATGGAGATATTAACCTAGTTTTAAAACTTTTTCACTTCCAACAGAAAATTTTTTTAAAAAAGAAGGATGATGTTGTTTTAATGTGTTCACAGGCCATGTTCCTTCCTCTCTCCATCTCATTAACAAAGGTTTACAGGGTGGAGATGGGGAACTCCAGATGGTTTGCATTTCTCAGCTGCATAGCGCGCTGGCTGAGAGGCGCTGGGAAAGCTTCGTGCTTTCTCCAGGCCACGGCCCCATCTCTGAATGGTCTGAGGGGCCCCCAGGAGAAAACCTTTCCCTCAGACCAGCCCCTCCCTTTCCAGATATTTTGTCCACCTTTCAGTAGGAACACCTACTGGCCGTATTATCTGCATCAAGTCATTTAACCTGCCTACATCTCAGTTTTGTCCTCAGGGTTAGAGAGTTCTTCTGAACGTAGACAGTCTATGGGTTTACGAGAACTCATGATAAACATAACATATATGCCAGGGAAGATGTGCTGAAGCCCTGCTAACATGACATGCGACACGACAGCTGCCATCTTTGCTTTCTCCTTCTCTGCCTCCAATTAACAGAGTTCTTCCCACCAGGAAGAAGTTCTCTCCAGGCTTCTATCCTGCCCAGATATCAAGAGAAATGGCATAAGTTTCAGCTGCAGTTTGGACTACGCACCTCCTAAGCTCCCATGAACTGTTGACGTTCCTTCAGCGGAGGCCGCCCTCCGGTGTGTTTGCTCTCATCTTCCAGAGGGAAGCTGCAGGGAGCAGAGGTCCTGGGAGACGAGCAGGGCAGGCTGCATAAACCGTCACCAGTGCACTCACGGTCAGCCCAGGCCAGACCCGTGCATCATCATCCACCCAATGTCAGCTCCAGGCGCCGGCGTGAAGTCCACGGTGATGGAATGGGATTTGGAGGGTGAACAGCCCATAAAACTGGTGTTGTTACTTGAAACTAAGCTGGTCTGATCCCCTGCAGAGTCAACCCACACTCAGTGTGCATTCTTGAGCTATTCACGCCCTTCCTTTGAGAGTAGGGCTTTCATTCCTTTATCCTTCCCTTCCTCTGCCTAGATCTTTACAAGTACAAGTTACAGACACAAGAGACTTAAACAAATCAGACTCTTTGACCTTGAATTCCACTCATGTACCTGGAATACATAATAGGATTATATAGGAAAAGATTTAAAAAAAAAAGAACTAAAACCACTTGATAATTGAAACTAGCAAAGTTCGTCCTACATATTGTTTCCTCACCGGGCAATGACTCACCTCTGGAAAACAGAATCGTACCTCAGGTAGATGCCCCGTGCCTTTTGCTGTCAGCCCCAGGGCTTCTTTGACACCAAGGAAATGAGATGCTGCAGGGGAGCCTGCACAGCACCAGGCAAGGGTCATACAAGGTCCGGAGTGAGCAATCCAGGGGAAACTCTCAACCCAGGAGGGCTGGGAGCAAGCAATAAAAGGCGCCTCCATGTTGATCTTCTGGTGGTGATTCTGAGAGGCGTTCTCCAGTCTCCCCAGAAAGTTCTAGGTATGACTGCACTCCAGTTGCCTTCAGTGGTGACCTTGATAATTCATCCTGATATTGACTTTCCTGCTGCTCTCACTCCTCTGGGCCCGCACTCCTGCTCCCTGGAATTATTTCCCAAATAAAGCAAGAGTACCCAAGTCCTTGTCCCAAACTCACCTTTAGAAGGAACCCAAACTATAGAAACTGTATTTATTTAGTCACCAAATTTTGTGGAGTACCTGCCACATGCCAGGCTGGAGCCATCAAAGACAAAAAAGATGTATGTACATAGCCTTGCCCTCCAGAGCTGTCAGTCTAGTGCAGAACAAAATGCCATGTACTGAAATGGAAGCTAACAGATTCATACCCATATAGCTGTGGAAAAGGGTTTTACAATGAAACAATTTCAGTCTCAGTTTTCACAGACTTCTCAAGATAATTGTTGTCAACTACTTTCATTTTCCAAAGTATGATACCAGATCACTTATGCAAGACTTGCAAAGTCTCATGACCTCCTAGGTTCTGTCATTAAAAGAGGTTGGAGAGGTTGAGAGAGGTAACAGATTATGAGGGGTTTTTTTTAATTATTATTACTTCGCTGGTGTTTGCATGAGGATCTCTGCCCATGGGGCAAGGATGAGCTATACTTTTCCTTCACTTCGCAAGTTGGAGAGGTGGCGGCATTCTGTCCTCAAGCTTCAAGGACATGTCATCCTCTCGTGTCCCCTCAAGCTTGGGCACATGATGGATTGGTGTCTGAGCTTTGTCTGACTCATACTCAACTCATCTGTTCTGCCAGTGGAGCAAAAAGATGGGCTATTAGGGCAATGATGACACATGGAGTTCTCTGGACCTCATGTGGGTCCACGAGAGAGAGTGGTGGCTCAGGGTTGTCTAAGTCCTGCCCACAAGGACTTCCAGGAGACACAAGAAGACCTCAACAGAGAGGTACCACCAGGTGCCTTGGACTGAGAGGCATCTTTGCCACCAGCCTGCATCAAGGAATTGCAGACAAGAAACACCTAGTGAGAGGGATGGGTGAGGGGGGAGGACGCTCTCCTCCACCTGTCTGGTAAGACCTCTCCATCTGGTCCCTGCCTACCTGCCCACCTTCACTCCCGACCAGTTTCCTCCTCTAAATGAGGCTCCACCACCCGCTTTTCTTGCTGCCCCTGGAACACATGAAGACCGGCTCTGCCTCAGGGTCGCCAAAGCTGTTCTTCCCTCTGCTTGGAAGGGCCTCTCTAGCACGTTTTCACAAATCTGGCTCTTCCTTATCATTACCTATCAGCTCCAACATCACCTCCTCACAGAGGCGGGCCTTGTGTGAGCATCCTGGTTCAGGTACTTCCCAAGGCTTTGTCATCTGTTGTCCCCGTCACTTTTTTTATAAGCTTTCATTGAATCATGAATTTCAGTTCAGTGAATTTTTAGCCTCAGTGATGGTTCAGACCTATTGAACTGGCCTTCAGACCAAGTGACAACAAACCACAGTTGCAGAGGCTCCCTAGAGCCCCGCCCAGAGTAGCTGAGTTTTCCCAGTCTGTGTATCATACTTATTTAACTCAGAGAAGCTCTGCACCTGCACAGGCCAACACTACAACAACCAGCCACCTGTGCCCACTGCGCACTTGAACTGTGGTTGGTGCCACCTGTTAAAATGACAATGTTTTGGACATACTGAGTTAAATAAGTATTTTATTAATTTTATCTGTGTCTTTTTACTTTTTTCGTGTGGTTACCAGAAAGTTTTAAATTAGGTGTGGCTCCCATCATGTTCCTACTGGGCGACTCTGCCCCGGACCCTCTTCAAGTTTACTTGTCTTTTTTACGTCTATCACCTGTCTTCGCCAACAGATTGTGAGCTCCCCGCGGACACGGGCTGCTTCGTTCAAGGCTGCACCTCCAAGGGTGGCACACAGAGGTGAGCAGTCATTGAACTGCCCAAGGACCCAGTGGTCTGGGAGTGAACGCACCAACACCGCGTTCAGAAAGATAAGCTGGTTGGAAAGAGCTGATCCCAAAGGCGTCTCCCACCCGGGATCCCCAACTCGGCCACTTTAGTAGGTCGGGCTCCCCTCGTCACACAACGAAGGATAGACCCCAGAGTGGCCCGAAGCGCCAGGCGGGAGGTGAGGAGGGTCGGCCCCGCCCCGCCCCGCGGCCCAGCCGGCGTCACGCCGCCGCGGTTTCCAGGCAACCGCCGAACGCGGGCGACGGCCGAGAGCCCAGGGTGGACTGGGACTGGGCCCCTCGGCGGGCGCCAATGAGCACAGGGGCCGCGGGGGAGCTGGACGCGGGCAGGATGGAGGACGAAGAGGAGGAGATCACCGCCGCCACGCTGCGGGGCAAGCCCCGGCCGCTGCCCATCTCGGCGCTGTCCGCCTTCAGCTACATCCCGCCGCGGCGCCTGGACCCCAAGGAGCACAGCTACTACTACCGCCAGGGCAAGGTGGGCAGCGCTGCGGAGGGCCGTACGCCCGGGACGGGGGCGGGGGGCGGGGGGCGGGCGCACTGCTAGGAGTGGGGGGAGTGGCTGGGGCGGTGATACAGAGAAAGGGGTGGGGACGGACTTTTACGACCTGGGAGGGGCCGGGGGAAAGGAGATGTGGGCGGGGCTGCACTGCTGGGAGAGAGGGATGAGATCCTTGGTCCGCTCCTGGGGAGGGGCGCTGGGGGCGGGGCTGAAGAGCTGCAGCGGGAGGCTGGGGAGGGGGCCGAGGCAGGGGCGCTGGGGGCGGGGTTACATTGCGGGGGAGGCGGTCTGGGGGCGGGGCTGAGCTCCTGGGGGGGGGGGGGCTCTGTGGGCGGGGCTGCAAAGCTGGAGAGGGAGGCTGGGCAGGGGGCCGAAGGTGGGGCGCTGGGGGCGGGGTTATGTTGCCGGGGAGGCGGTCTGCGGGCAGGGCTGCAAGCCCGGGCAGGGCGGGCCGAGGGCGAGCGGACAACGGAGGAAGTGGGTGAGGGCCCGGGCTTGTCCTGGGACCGCGCTGCAACTGTGGAATGTGGCTCTGGGGGCAGAACGGCATAGCCAGTGAGGCGGCCCAGGGCGAGGCGCACGGCGATAGATTAGGGGCGGCACAGTCACTGGGGGGGGAGGAGAGGGGCGAGAGGGGGGAGAGGGCGGGCGAGCGGCCTCCCTCCAGGGCGCCAAACCCCAAAAAGTACGTCTACCAAGACCACCAGAGTAAGGTGGACCTGGCGCCTCCCCAGAGAGGATGGGCGGGGGGAGCCCAACGTGTGGAGGGTTACGCTCAGCCGGGACAGGGGGCTGGGGCAGGCCGTGCGGGGACGGAGGGGGGCGTCTGCCGCAGGCCGGGGGGAGGCGGGAAACAGCCGCTGCCTGGGCCTCGCCGCCGCGCTGACTGTGCCTGAAAGGTCCTGGGCGTAGAAACCCTTCTAGAAGCCTGCCTGCAAGCCAAATACAACCCTGAAGAGCCGCCCGCAGGGAGAACGGGCCTGGGAGAGTCATTGAGTTGTGGCCTGACGCCACCAGGCACGTGCATGTCGTGCCAAAAGCCGGCGGCTCTGCGAAGGCCACCACACAGCCAAAGAAAAAAAAGGAAATTCAGAGCTTATTGACGGTCGTCTATTCCCTTCTTCTCGTTTTTCCTAAATGTCTCCAGTGTGACTTGCCAGCTCAGGATGCAGGGGCATCATTATTAAAAGGAACATTGATTAGGGGCGCTCAGCCTGCAGAGACAATGAGTAGCCCAGAGAGGGGTATAGATTAACCAAGTACCTGGGAGGAAGGAGATCTTTCACTTAGGATGCATAAGGTATTCCCACAAAATGCATTGTTCCTTTGCTGCTCCTCACCCACGGTCCGTGGAGTGCAAATGAATCCCCATTCACATCAGGTCAGCACACTTTTGAGTACTTGCCACAGTTGAAATGTAGGAGAAAGTCATGGAGCTGAGCCTTTCAAACAGGCAATAGTTTCTAGTTCAGACAACTGTTTTGGGTTGAACTGTGTCCCCCTAAAATTCTTATGTTAGAGTCCTAATCGCCAGCACCTCAGAATGTTTGGAGACAGGGTCTTTACAAACGTGATCAAAGGAAGGTCATCGGGGGGCCCTAATCCAATATGACTGGTGTCCTTGTAAAAGGGGGCAATTTGGACACAGAAACAGACATGCATAAAGGGAAGATTATGTCAGTAGACAGGGAGAAGACTGCTGTCTACAAACCAAGGAGGGAGTCTGGGAACAGATCCTTCCTTCATAGCCCTCAGAAGGAATCAACCCTGCTGACACCTTGATCTCAGACCCCTGGCCACTGGAACTGTGAAACAGTAAATTTTTGTTGTTTCAGCTTTCCAGTCTGGGTACTTTGTTTTGGCAGCCCTAGGAAACCAGCACAGAGACCTCAGCCAGGAGGATCTCTTGTATCTAGAGCCAAGCCATCTCTCTGCTTGGCTTTGAGCAATATGTAAGGACAGGAGGATAGGAGGAAGAAAGGGGACAGGTGCAGCACATCTGTCTTTGCATGCCTGTTTGCTGACTCTCCTAGGCTTAATATCGTCTGGGTATTAAGACAGAAGGGGGTTTTAGAGCAATGGTTCCCCACCTCACTGCCACCATGGACCTTATACTTTTCCCTCCCATGAGCAATATGTTATGAAACAACATTTATCTGTAAATAATTTTATTTCTTAAGTGAATTTTACAATTTAAGTATAGAAAACTTATTGCCAGTTAATTTTTATGATTCATGTGTCAACTTAGAAAGCAAATCTGCCAGTTATTTTACCCTCAAAATGAGTTTATTTCAGAATAGCCAAAAGAATTGCAATTCAGTATGTGCATGCTACAGCAGGACGTAGGCATATCTGGAGAGACAAAGGAAGGGGCTTGGTTTTATAGAGCAAAATGGGGAGTAGGGAGGAGCTGTTCTAAATGAACGTCCATTGGAGGAAAGTCACCGTTCTGGATGGCGATGAATTCTCATTGGCTGGACTGTTGGCGGGCAGAGAGAGAAATCTTCCTTCAGTGGTAAAGTAGTTGTGTTTCCTGCGTAGTCGTACTTCCTAAGGAGATGCACGCCTCTCTCTCTTCCTGTTTGGCTGATGGATGATGTATGATAGGGGTGAGAGCTCCCCCTAGAGGCCCTCCCGACTGCAATTTAGTTGAGATTTCTTTAATTCATCTCACACATACATAGTATTAACGCACAGCATGAGAGAACCAACCAAAAAGCAAGAAGTCTTGGTGTTTTAAGTTGGTCCGTGCTATTATTATGGAGAGAATATAAATTTTGTCTGGCTTCTTGACATCATGAAAAAATTCATATAACACCATTTTATGTGTATCTTTGAGGGGTCTTGTTAATTACCACTTGAAGCTGTTGAGAAATAAGATAAAAGACTAAGCAAATGGGAGCCAAGATATGTATTTATCAGAGATGAAAGCCAGGTTGTAGGAGATTGCTAAGGACTCTGAGCAAATGGATTTCGGGACACTGAAGCTCTGAATCGGGTGGATTTCCCCACCCAGCCACCACCGCTGTGGGCTCTGGAAAAAGCAGAGCAGAACCCCCATCCACAGTGGGCCAGGCACTACCGCGGGAAAAGAGGCCAAGTTGAGTCTGGCAGGCACCATTTATTCTTCCTGAATTCACCAACCTGATAGGTGGCTCCACATTTCTGGGGCCAATCAACTAAAGGGCAGAAATATACCCAAAGTATGAGGTGACCGGGCCTGGGGGTCCAGACTGGGAAGGAGATCAAGAGAGGGCAAGAGGTGTGCCCCTATAATGCAGGGGTCAGCACATGAAGGGCCCTGGGCCAAATCAGACCTGCCACTTGTTTTAATAAATAAAGTTTTATTAGAACACAGTCACACACCCTTCCTTTAGTATTGTCTATGGCTCTCACAGAGTTAAGTAGTTGCAACAGAGACCATGTGACCTCAAAGCCTAAAACAGTGACTATCTCCCCCTTTGCAGAAAACACTTGCCAACCCCTGCTCTAATGTATTACTGCCCCTGGAAGGTAGGGATGGGCCTTAGAACAAATTAATGCAAAGTAGGTTGATAAGGAAAAAAAAAAATTCAGTGCAGTTTTAATAGCTGGGTTCACAGGCAAATTGAAGTCCTAAGGCCTTTGGTGTCACACAGAAGACAATGATGCAGCAGAAATATTCACACTTAAATACAAGAGCCTTAAAAGCAGCAAGAACAACACAAGGCACTTCAAAGCCCATTTGCAAGTGAGCCACCCAATGGCAATAACACCTTCTGGGGATTACGTGAACTGGTGTTTAGAAGCTGCAGGACTCCAGAAGCTGATTCTCTGACCTCGTGATCATTTGGACTAAAGAGAGGGAACTCTGTATCATAGGTTTGCTGGGACTCAGCTGCCCCTAAGTTCACTGTAAATAATGCCAGGCTCCACTCAAAGCTGAAGAGAAACAATGCAGAATTAGCTCTTCAGTCAGTTACTGTGGGGCACACTTAGTGACTCGTTAGTTAGTAGCTCAGGCCGAGGAGTCCTGGGTAGAATATTGGCTCCGTGTTTACCAGCTGTGTGGATTGCCCAAGTTACAAACATGTCATCTCACTTCACCCGTCTGTGAAACAGGAATCAAACAGTTCCAACTGCATGGAGCTCTTACAGGCATTAATTTAATTAATGGGTATAAAGTGGCACATAGTAAGCCTAATGTAGGAGCCATTGTTATGTGCTTTTGTTAGTGAGTATTAGCGTTTCCTTTCAGTGAAGGTTGGGTCCCAGCAGCCATTCTGTTATATCCCCCACTCTCATTCATGCACATGGAGATGAACACAGGTGAAGCAGGTAATCTGAGTGTCAATCTGGTGGCTTTGAATCCTCTAAGGCCTCTACCCCGAGGGAGCCCAAAGTTAAGTCTCTCGAGGCAACACACTTACTTAAAGCCCCAGTAATGCCCTAGTTTTTAAGAGAAATTTGTCATCTAAAGCCACCAGCTAAAATGCAATCAACTGCTGACCTGCTCCCTAAGGAGATAAGCCGCGTGGACTTTCCCTATAAAATATTGTTCCAGTGGCAGCAAAGCAAATTCCATTCAATGGTGTTTTTAAAGTACTTTTTTCTACTTCCGTCTTGTGCAACATTTCTGCTACTTCAGTGGCAAAGCTGAGTCAAAGGAGAATGCTCTTTTATGAGGGTTTTGATTAAATTTCTCAAAGTCTAAGTGTTATATTTAAAAAATTCCTAGGCCATGAAATATATGGTGGGAGTATTTGTACCACAGAGATGAGCAAATGCTACATATCAGGTCTTTTTTTCTCCAGAGAGTCAGTTGGTAAACATAATCCTACCACTGGGCTTAAGCATCTAAACATATCAAAATGAAGGCTGTCTTTTTCACATGAAGCCCAACACGTGTGTTTCTCATGGGCGGCTCTTCTTAATGCAATGACTTGGGAAACCAGGCTCCTTCTTTTTAGTGGCTCCACTATTGCCAGGACCTGGGGATCTTTGGGACCTTGCAGTGCTCTACTGGATCCTTTGCATTTCCTAGGCAATGAGCAAGGGGAGAGCATGAGAGTTTTTCATGGACCAGGACTAGAAGGTAGCGTCCTCTGGTTTCACCCACATTCCTTTACAGAGCTGGTCACCTGGCCCCAGCCTAACTGTGATGGAATCTGGTGGTCTTTGTTCTGGAAGCGGAAATGTGACTGTTGAGCACATGGTATTACCCCTGCCCAATTACTATGGAAAAATGTATTAACTTCCTTTCTCTCGTTTCTTTCTCCTCGCAGAACTTACCTGGTTTGAAGTTACAATGGAGAGTGCATTTATATTTAAAATGGTCTGAAAGGGAGGAGAAAAGAAAGGACTAGGGTCTCAGTTTGCTCAAAATCTTACCCCAGTTATTTGTGGGAGAGTGTGGGTAACTTCTGGGAGGAGGAAGCTTCCAAGGCTGGGAGGAGGCACTGCGCATAATCAAACCCCACAACCCCAGAGACAGTCCTTGGAGAGCGGAGGTGGTGGGCCAGGAGTTCCTCCTCATTCTTCTGCTTGCCCTGGTCTTGATAAGCTAGGTTATTTATGCTGCAGTAACAAACAACCCGTCTCGGTGGCCTAAAACAAGCCTTATTTCACATGCTAAATGTCCAGCAGGTGTGGCTCTGCCCAGTACAGTCACTCACCAACCACCATGAAAACCGCTAACATCTCAATATGAAGCTTCAGGAGTCCCTGGGCACTGGCTCTTAAATGCTTTTGACTAAGGAGTCACATGTCATCTCTACTCATAGTTCATTGGTTAGAACTGGTCACATGGCTTCACTGACCTAAAGGAGCAGGGACGATTAATCGTCTGTGTAGTCAGGAGTAGAGGAGAGTTGAATATTGGTGATGTCTACCAATTCAGTCTACCTGGGGCAGAGTGCTCCAAGGTTGGGTCTCTGGCCCACTGCAATAACTTTGTTTTATCTCCAATCTTACTTTCCGTTGTTCAAAAGATGGCTACTTCTCCTTACCAAATGTATTTACTAGGGCTGCTGTAATAACAAAGTACCACAGACTGGGCGGCTTAAATGACAGAAGTTTATTGTCTCTCAGTTCTGGAAGCTGGAAGTCAAGATCAAGGTGTCAGCAGGGTTGATTCCTTCTGAGGGCTGTGAGGAACGATCTGTTCCAGGCCTCTCTCTTGGACTTTTAGATGACCTCTTCTCCCTGTGTCTCTTCACAACGTCTTTGCTCTCTGCATATCTGTGTCCAAACTTTTTATAAGGACAACAGTCTTAGTGGATTAGGGGCCCACTCTACCCCAGTGTGACCTCATCTTAACTAATTACATCTTCAATGACCTTATTTCTAAATCAGGTCACCTTCTGAGGGCCTAGGGGTTAGAACTTCCACATATGAATTTTTGGAGGATGCAGTTCAACTCCTAACACCCAGGGGGGCTACCTGCTAGTGACTCTAGCCATAGCAGTACAGTCCCTCCTGTCTTCAGTTGCGTCCACTTCCTACCCACAGCCCAGACAGGAGCTGGTTCTTCCTTCTTTGGTGCCCCTGAACTTTATGCGTACCTCTGTTACTCCATTTGGATTATGTTGTGGTGTTTAATTAATGGGTTTATTTCCAATCTCAGTCTGTTTTCTCCTTTAAGGTAGGGACTCTCTATTTTTGTCCCAGAGCCTGGCAGAGTACCTCGCACAATCGTAGACCTACTGTGTGTTGGAGGTTGAAAACTGAAGGCTTGCACTCCACTTACAGCATCAGCCCAGGGCTACAGACTGGGGTGATTTTTCAGTGTTAGGAGTCGGGGGGTCATAATGGGGGAAAATGATGGCAGGTGATCAGGCACCACAACCAGAATAAGACCACAGCCCATTTTAACAGTACTCAAAACACAAAGGGACAAAGGGAGATCATGCCAGAAAAAATAAATGGGCTCAGTTTTGCTTTGTTTTTTAAGATCCACGTCATGTGTGAAATAATGGAATCCCTTGAGAGATTTTAATAGCAAAACACCAGTAAACCCAGAAGCTCTGTTCTGTGATGGTGTCTGAATCCAGATGGGCTTTTATCAATGGAATTTTGCTTCAAACCATAAAGGAATGAAGGACAAAATGAAAGATGAAAGAATAATAATTAAAATTCAGGAAAAGACAGATTTTCAGCTTAATGAGGTATTAGAAATGGACAGTCACGTTTGCTGAGAGGCTGTCTGCCTGGCATTAATTTTTTTTTTCTTTTTTTTCCTTATTTTTCAATGATAGAAAAATTTGTTTTTAGTCTGGAAAGCTCTGCATATGCAAAATCCCCACAAAGGAGAGAGAGAGATTCTGATCACACCCATCAGCAGAGAGATTCCTAATAAAGACTGTTCTAAGATACAGTAGTAGGCTCTTGGTAGCTAATCCTCAGGGTGGGAGGGAGGCTTTGCTACTTATAGGTGTCCCTTTTGTAGAGTATTTTAGGAGAACTGATTAGAATGAGAAGAAATAGGAATTATTTTGTAAAGCTGCATATCATGGTGGGTTTTCCACTGTAGGAAACAAAATGAAGTCACATTTCCTTTCTCATTTTCCACATTGCCTTCTCCTCCTGTTGAGTCCATTCTTCCCTCTTCAGTCTTTCTCCCAGGACAGGTCCAGGAACCCCAGTGGGCTTACTGGGTTCAGAAGGGTCAGGCATAAATAGACGCCTGCAGAAGACTGCACAAGATGGCAGTTCCTGGAGGATCCCTGTGTCCCCTGCTGTTGGGGCTGCCCCCTTCTAGGGATGCTGCCCCTCAGTCCTGGGCATGGCTGGTCACCTGCAGGGAGTGCCGTGGGAACTTAGGCTGGCATCCAGTCACCCCCTTTGGCCCAGGGTTCTCAGGATGCAGAAGAGGGCGCCTCCCGCCATGGGTGCAGCTCCCACCCCAGTGCTCAGTCCTAGGGACCAGATCTTTCTGCTGCACACTGCAGCTGTTCTCCTGAAACACACCCATTTCACAGGGTCAGCCGGGCCAGGAGGGATCCAAGCGACAAGTGGACATCTAGATTATGACCAAGAGCCCAACTTAAATTGCTGTGTGTAAGTGGGAGTGGTGTGGTGGCAATGGGGTCTGTTTGCGTCTGCCTGCTGGCCTCAGCCAGGCCTGGCCAGCAGCTCTGAACCCCAAGGGGAAGGGTCTGTATTGCGTAGCTCCCTCCCAGAAGGCCAGTGTGCTTCTTTGGAGAATTTGTCCCCCACCAACCCTGCAGAGTGAGCTTCCGTTGCGTCACTGCAGGGCCCTCTGGCCTGGTGGCTTACCCAAAAAGGTTTGCTGTAAGGTTTCTAACCTCTCCAGGTTGGAGGCAAACACCCCACCCATTCAGTGAGCTTCTGCTTCAGCGGACATCCTAGCTTATGTATGTAAAATGTGTTGAGATTTCTCCGTCATTTCCTAAAGTGTGTTTTTTCTTGTTTTAATTTTATTTGATAAGCAGCTGTCTGCATTTTATATAGTCAAAGTGATTGACATTTTCTTTGTGACATTTCCCCCATTGCCTTCATGGGTGGGAAGTCCCTAATGGGTTTTCTTTTCACTGATTTCTCTAATTCATCCAGAATTTACTTTTGTCCATAATGCGATGTGAGGACCCAAGTTTACATTCTTCCCAAACTTAGCCAATTTTCGCGCCACCAAAGGCTGTGCAATGTACTACCTCTCCATTGATTTGGGCTTTTTGCTTTTAATCCTATAAGTATGTGAGCTATACTGTAGGTTGCCTTCAGGAAGGGTGAGGGCTGGAGATGGCCAGAGCGATGTGTGAACAGACCCAGAAGTTGAGTGCATAAGAGAGTATGGAGAAGAAGCTTGTCTGTGGTGACCTCATTAATGGCCATCAGGGCATAGACGTGGACGCCATGGCTGCTGCCTGCAAGTTGCTCGGAGCGACCTAGGCAAATAGAGATTTCAGCAGCCACTGAATATGGCTTAAGCATGTTGCCACTGGGATTCTTGGAAACCTTAAAAGTCATGATTCTAAAAGACCATCTTGTTTTCCTTACTGGATGGTTAATTGTGCCAGGACAGGACCCACGTCTGAGTTGTCTTCGAAAACATCCCCAGCAGGAGCTGCGTGTCTTGCACAGGACGGATGACCTGTGAACAGTTTGTCAAGGCTGGGATGAAGCTACCTCACACCCTAGTCATCCCCGTTGCTACCAGCACCTCTGAGTTCCCACAGTCAGTGTGAATGGGCAGTACTGTTTTCTAAGAGACGATGCCCACATCGTGCATCCTTTTCACTGTTTACCTTCTGCCTCTGTGTCGTGCAGTCAGAGGACATCATTCCAGCATCACTAGCCAGAAAAAAGAAAAATACCAAAAAACCAAAAAACAAGCACAGGTTACAGACCCGGTGCTCCCAAATCCCAGAGAGACGGCGTGTCTGGGTCTGCTGCTGGGAGGACTCCAGGCTGCTGGCCTTTGGCTGGAGGAACAGAAACGACCCGCCTGACTTATGAGGTGAAGATTAATGATCAGCTAACACGTGGATTTCTTTTCCTTTTACTAGATACCAAATAAATAAGACTGGTTTATTTTTGTATTAAGAAAAAGTTGGGATGAAAAAATGGAGATATTACAGAAGATAAGTCTGTCAACAGGATCATTGTCTAATATATCAGAGCTGTGTGTTTTATATATGTTTGATACATATGTCTATTTTATATGTTTGATATACATATGTATACACATATATGTAATATATACATATATATGTTCTTATATATGTGAATTACAGGATTGTTATAGCTGCCACATCTGATTAAAGAAAATATTTTTGTCTCTCTAGAGGGGGCTTTCATAGCCCACCTATTGGCTAGCAACAAGGAATGTTGCTCCCTGGAGGAGGCCTCGATGGCTCAGCCTTTGAATAAACCCATGGCTTTCTTTTGCTTTTTATTCCCAGACAGGAATCATTTCCCTCTATGACTGTGTTTTTAAGAAGAACCCGGGTTATAACCAGAAATTGCACCGAGATGACAGAGAACATGCAAAAAGCCTGGGACTTCATATTAACGAGGAGGTAATATTCAGACAGGCTATTAACAAGGTGTTAAGAGATTAACTGTGTATATCTATTTAATATTGTGTTCAGTCTGCTGCATGTAACTCTCCTGTATGTGGCTCTCCTCTGTCTTACTGTGCCAGGAAGCTAAGACTCAGCCACTATTATAGCTCAATCTGTTCTGTCATGTTACTGTGTATTAATTGTTATGACTCTGTTGTTTAATTCTATAGAATTTAAGAATTTAATGAGAGCAAAACTAAGAAGTCCTTTTCAACAGATGAAATAGGTCTTTGCTGGACCTCTGAATTTCTGGCTGTCACAGTTCTCCTGGGGACATTAGCCTTCCAGGGATGAAACCACACATGCAAGCATTTTATCTCCCAAGTTTTGGTATCAGGGCACTATGACCACCACATATAGCACAGTTCTTTTATCTTTCCATGGTTTTCTGAAAAGGAGGGCTTCGCTTGTAGTCAGCTGTGCAAGTGGTGACCAACAGAAGGAAAAAACTCATAGGGTGAGGAGGTCAGGATCACAGCAGGGCACCGGTGTGAGGAGGCTGTGTACCCCCTTAGCGTGGTCGGCCCCTCTACCTGCTGGGCTAGACCCTGCTGCTGCCTTTCCACACTCGGACATTGTCTTCACAAAGTCTGATCCAAGGACAGCATGTTTATTAAAAGTCAGGTGCTGAATAAATATCATAATCTTTTATACAACACACAGAAATCAGAAAGTAAAAGTTTCTGGTAGGCTTTCTTTCTGGATCATTGGGTTTTGGCCTGTGGCTGTCACATGTCACATGCCATCATGTCACTTTCAATGAAACTTTTTATTTTGATGTGAAATTAAGTGAAGGAGGTACTATGAGATATTACCATTTAAGTCACAGACATTACAATTGTTTTCTATCATTTATGTTATGTTAATTCATTCAGAGTTGGTATGAAGTTAGTGCTTTTCTCTCATAAGAACATGCCTAGTGTTACTCATATCCAGTTGTAGCTTTTTTTTTGTCCTGAGGAAGGTTGGACCTGAGCTAACATCTGTACCAATCTTCCTCTATTTTGCATGTGGGTTGCCACCACAGCATGGCCGCCAATGAGTGGCATAGGTCCATGCCCAGGAACTGAACCTGGGCTGCTGATGTGGAGTACACTGAACTTACCCATTAGGCCATGGGGCTGGCCCCCAGCTGTAGTTTTTGAGCGCCTCCCGTGTACTACTGAGCATAAAGGGAGTAAGATAAAAGTCCCTGTCCTCTTAGAGCTGGCATTCCTATGAGGAAATGGAAAAACAAAAGCCAAATAAATAATGAACTGAATTCCAGGTAGTGATAAGTGGTATGCAGAGAAATAAACCCTTTTAAGGGGATAGGGAACATGAAAGAGATGAGGGGGGCTGGGGAGATGAGGAGGGGCTGGGGAGATGAAGTGGGGGCTGGGAGATGAAGAGGGGGGCGGAGGGGCTGGGAAGATGAAGTAGGGGGCAGGGAGGGAGCTGCGAAGATGAGAGTGGGGCCAAGGAGATGTGTATTTGGGCAAAGAAAGAAGGCAGGAAGGAAGGTAGGCAGGCAGAAGAAGGGTAGGGAGAAGGGAGGGGAGGGAGGAAGAACCTGTACCTGAAGTCAGAGGATACCTGGCACCCAGTGCATGACCTTGCCTGTCTTCTGAAGGGTCTGAGGACACTGGAGGCTCTGAGCAGATGGGTCAGGGTCTGACGTAGTTTAAGGGGTCCCCTTGGGATCAGTGTGGAGTAGCCCCCAAGAAGCCCTGGTGGGGGCAGGACACAGGTGTGCAGGTGATGCAGGCAAAAACAGCTTCCTGGACATTGGCCGATGGAGGGGTCAGCCATGCTGACAAGGCGGGCGTGTGCCAACCTAAGTGTCCTAATGTGTCACCCTCCACAGGAGCAGGAGAGGCCAGTGGGACTGCTGACGTCTTCTGTCTACGGGAAGCGCATACAGCAGCCCGTGGAGCCTCTGAACCGGGACCATGGCCGCGCCAACCATGTGAAGGCTGACTTCTACCGGAAGAACGACATCCCCAGCATCAAGGCACCTGGCTTTGGGCACATTTCTCCAGCCTGATGCCTTCCCTGTGGCCTGAAGGGCCCATGGGCAAGTGAGGCTGCCTTATTTTCCCCTTCACAGACATCTCGGAGCTGGCCTGATGCTTCTGTGGCACCTTGACAGTGGGAAGGACGGGCCCAGAAGCCGCTTGCCCTCCCACTGCCTTGGTGAAGAAACTGGCCAAACACCTTTAAGACTTAGGATGAACATCTAGTGTGATGGTTTTCACGTGAACTGATTTCAGATGAGATGATGCTGAATACTGATGCATTGGGAGCACCCAAATACAATGAAAACTTTGTTCTCACTTGACAATGGTTGGGTTGAGTTTGTTCTCACTTGACAGTGGTTGGGTTGATTTTCCGTCACTGCCTCTGCACGTTTGCAAGACTTTTTGGGGGAGGCACTCAAGGGAGTGGTGAGCAGTTACTTTTCTTAACAGTTATGGAAACTGCTACTGCCTGATATTGTTTGTACCATGGAGTCGATTCTGACTCCCAGTGACCCTGTGGACAGCAGGGTAAACCCTGCCCGTCTTTTTGCGCCATCCTCTCCCCTTCCGGTGCTGTATCAGACAATGCTCTGCCCCGTCCAGCACCTCCTGTTAGTACAAACAGCTCTTCCATTTTCCTTTCTCCTGGAGGAGAGCTCACGAAATTGCCTTTTGGCACGATTAAACTCTAGATACTACAACATTTTTCCCCCCAGAGGCCTGAGCTGCGAACAGTAGAATTTTGTGCAATTGAGCACAAAAGCCCTAGTAAGGATAGGTGGCCTCGGTGGCCAGCAATGCTGCTGTCACTCCTCAGGGGAGGAGCCACAGGTCATGGGAAGAGATTGGACTTTGGCGCTGAACTGACTTGGGTAAAATCTGGCTCCTCATTTTCTGGCTGCATGTGCAGGTGTAGGCAAATCATCTCACCTGTTGAAGCCCACGTTTCCTCATCTATTTTTTATTTTTCCCCGAGGAAGATTAGCCCTGAGCTAACTGCTGGCAATCCTCCTCTTTGTGCTGAGGAAGACTGGCCCTGAGCTAACATCCGTGCCCATCTTCCTCTACTTTATATGTGGGACGCCTATCACAGCATGGCTTGCCACGAGGTGCCTTGTCCGCACCCAGGATCTGAACTGGCAAACCCCGGGCTGCCGAAGCAGAATGTGCACACTAGGCCAGCCCCTCCTCATCTTTAAAGTGGGAATTCCAAACCTTGAAGAGTTGGCGTGGGAATCCATGAGCCACTGGAGTGTAGTCATAACCCAGGCACACCAGGGGCTGTGACTGTTACTTTGAACACCTTTCTTTTTGGAAGCAGCTGTTTTTAACCCAAGTTGGAAATGTTTACGTTGGAGACAATTTGAAACTTATTCAAGTATTAAGATATCAGCTATGTTTTTAATGAATGGACCCCTTGGAAGAAATCATCTGCCACCTATTGTGATTAAATTTCTCCCTTCTCAGCAGTTAACGGGCAGGTGATCTAATTAATTTCCATGCTGATTCCTCTATCACTGGTTTATTGTTTTCATTCTCTAAGGACATATGACACTGCATTGCTGGCAATTTTGAGGCCGTGTGACTCCTAAATACTACTTTATTCTTTCGAAAATATTTTTTTTCACTGTAGGTGACTTTTATTTTTTCTCAACGAACAGCAATAGTTTATTTGGGATGCCTTTGGGCACATTAAACCATATTTATAATATTAGAAAATATATAGAGTTTTAGATGGAGGTTTTTATAAATTACTCTTTATTCAGTCTTGATTCCCAAGAAAGACAAGGCATCTCTAAGAAATGCCTTCATCTGAAAGTAACTGCAATAAATTAACATCAAACTGAACTAATTTCAGTTACTTTAAGTCAGATCTTACTCCCTTAACCTTCTACTACGTTTAAAGATTTTATTCTTCCTTTTTCTCTCCAAAGCTCCCGGGTACACGGTTGTGTATTTTTTGTTGTGGGTCCTTCTAGTTGTGGCATATGGGATGCCGCCTCAGCATGGCTTGATGAGCGGTGCCATGTCCCCGCCCAGGATCTGAACCCCCGAAACCCTGGGCCGCTGCAGCGGAGCACGTGAACTTAACCACTCGGCCACAGGGCCAGCCCCTCTACTACTTTTAAAAAGCAGGGCTTGAATTGGGCCAGGTTTCAAAAGACATTTACTAGGCAGCAAGGGAAAACTGACTGTATTTCTCTTGGCAGCTCGACATTTACAACTTAAAGCTGATCAACAAATGCTTGTTAGTCATCTTATCAAGGAGAAACACATATTAAAAGAATTTGTTTTGATTTATCAAATTTCCACCATGAGTCAACGTTTCTTGGAAAGCAGAGTGGTTGCTGTCTTTAGGAAAGCACACTGAGTTGAGAAAAAGAACAGTATGGAGGATTCGCGACGATGTAGACATTTCTAAATAGATGTATTAAAAATACTGCCGTTTTCAGGGGGCTGGACTCGGGGTGTTGTCCACGAGACAGGGCTTCCTCCCAGACTTAGAGGTTAGGGAGGGCTTTGAGGACACACTCTCACCTGCCGCCAAGGCTGCAGGGCTGATGGAAGTGAACTGCAAATCCACTTGTTCGCGTGATTTGCTCACCCGAATGTTGTAGTTGCCAGACCTTAAGGAGCTTCGCCCAGAAGTCCCACTTCCAGATTTCAGGGGACAGGAAGTTCTTCATACTCCTCTTGTCTCCGTCATTGATCAACAGGGAGACTTTGGACAAGCCCTTTGACCTCTCTGTCCTGCTTCCTCTCTTGTAAAACGCAGGGCCTGGGGGGCTGCAGGCTTGATGGGGCATCAGAATCTCCTGGAGAACTTGTTATCAAAAACACGGCCAGCAGGTCTGGGTTGGGGCTTGAAAATGCACATTTCTAACAAGTTCTTGGGTGACGCTGATGCTGTTGGCTGGAGATCACACTTTGAGAGACCCGTGTATGCACAGACGTTTGCAAGGTGGACTCTGGTGGTGACTTTGCTTTAGCAAGTCTTGTTTGATAAGACTGGCGATACAGCTTTGGGAAGAAAACAGTTCTTTTGAGTTCTTGTCTCCAAATTCAGCACATCCCAGGCCAGGGGGTGGTGGGGTGAGCATGTTTAAGAGTGCTTGGTGAATCACCAGGCTATGGGTGTCTACTAAGGGCAGGTGACACTAAGCACCCTGGATGGGTACTATAGGCTCTAAGGGAGGAAGAATCCAGGAGGCGCAGCTGCTGATCATTGTTACAAATGATACACAAGGCCAGTCTGAAGTCACTGAAACCCTAGGGCATCCGAGTCCAGATTTTGGTTAGACTGAAGAGAAATGCCCTTATATTATTTTTCTTCTTTCACCTTTTTGGAGAATTAGGTGTATTAAGGCCAATGCTGAATTGCAACTATGGGATCAAAAAATTCCTGATTGAGGCAGACAATTGAACAAGTCATGCTGTCTTGCCACTTCAGAGAGGAAGGCCAGTTATCAGTTTCGATAAGTGCTTTTAACCGAGAGTGAGTCCAAGTCCTGGCAGGGCAGCCGTGGCCGTGCTGCGAAGGTGCTGGCGGGAGGAAGCCCTGGGCGCCTGCCAGGCTCTCGCATGGTCATTAGCTCTTTTAATCCGACCTGATCCCGTCAGCTACCAATGAGAAAAATACTCCTAAGAGAAATTGAGAGACGTGTTGAGAGTCACACAGCTAGTGAAAACTCAGAGTCAAGAGTCAAATCGAGCGTTCGTGTTTCAAGTTTGAGTTCCCAGGAAGAAGCTGCTTCCTAATGCATCCTCGGGGTCCTCTACCTCTTACAGAGGCTGGCCTGGAGCTATGGAAAGAAACCAAGGTTGCTCAACCAGGCTGGTATTTGCAGCTTTGCTTTTAAACAGGAGATTATAGACAATTGCTCTATTTTTCACCCTTTGGCAAAGTATGATTTCTTTATGTATGAGAAAACTCCCAAACTTAGAGTTGGATTTATAAGAACAAAATTTTCCAGTTCTTCTCTCTTCAAAACTGCATAGACGTTGGCTTGGTGCCTTCTTAAGCCTCCTCAGACATAATAGGCAGCTTGTGGGGCTTAGCAGCTCCAGTTAGTTCAAGCTATTGTAAATGCTGATGTACACGGTCAATTCCAAATGACTCATGCAGCCTGTGTCTGATGCTTTCCCAAAGAATTAAGTTAAACCAGAGTACGTGGACGGAGGGGTGCTGTTGCTAGCAGAATCTTTTTACTATTAAAATATTCTTTCCTGAAAATGTTTTCTAGAGATGCCAACATGAAAACTAGACCACGTGACACATCGAGCATGCTTTCTTTCTTTCCACGGAGTTGCCTAACCAATGATCTGCATCACAAAATTTGTCCTGGTCTGAATTACTCAAGGATATCTCAATCTTTGCTTCTGGAGGACTTTTTCTGAAACAACTGTCCACAGGGACAGTGAATGGAAAACAAACCTCAATTCTAGAGCAAACTGCAGGAAGAAAGGGAGGAAAAAGATACAGACTATAAACCAAAGTACATAAAACTTTTAATGAATTAACCTTACAAAAGACAATGGCATCAAAACATCAGACGCGTTTGGTACAAAACTGTTCCTAGGTAGTGAGAACTAATTCTGGTGATAGATGGCTACGTGCTGCTGGTACGAGACACAACAGAGCAAGGTGACAGCCAGGGATCCCAGCTGGGGCCCTTAGACAGCCACTGGCAATGGACACGTGGATGAACACAGTCAAATTCCATGTGAGGTGACAGAATCAACTTATTCACAAATACTGTGTGTTTTAATATCAGACTAGCGGATGCGGTTGGCGAGCTACCATATTTTCCAGAAAAGAACATGCACCGAAGATAATATACACCCCCTAGTTTTATTGCCTTAAGAATTTTTGTTTGTTTCACCTCTATCGTCTTTGTTAGTTCTTTGAATGCTTTTCTCCTATAACGCACACTCCTCTTCCTTTTGCTTAGGAGTAAGCACAGTGCAAGTGGCAGAGCGATCTTGGCACACATCAGACACCAAACGGTATGCCACCGGGTCATGGGGACAAGTCTGCAAAGGCTCCAGAGGACAGAACAGAGCACGCACATCAAAAACGAGGGACAAAAGTTGCAGTCAGAAAGTGCATTGTACCTTCCTGAAACGACAGTCTTCTTGCCAAAATGAAGGCGACTCTTCAGGAAGCCAGGTTGCTCTGGGAGAGGGACCTCGACATTTCTGTGTTTACAAAGTATGTCTTCAGTTCCCCCTTTCCTTTCACGTTGATTATTCCTCGACATGTGCACGTGTATCCCAGGGTCTGCAGAATGAGGCTCGTCTCCTCAGTAACCTAGAAGCAGATTGACACATGAAAAAGTGTCAAGTGCATATATTGACACAGGCTTTTGAAAGGTCATTACACTACAAGGACAAAGAACCAAAAAATGTTCACTTGCTTTGACCCATTAATTCCACTCCTGAGAAAGCAGTAGGAGAGAGAATAATCCATGAGAAGAAAAAAAATTTAGGGACAATGTTTAATTCAGTGCTGTGACAGTGAAAAACCGGAAACACCTAAAATTCAAGTAATCTCCAGGGTTAAGTCCACGAGGATGCTGTCACAGGATCAATATCACGGATGAGATGATGGAATAATGTGGAACATTTTACCCCAAAAAAGCAGACTTAAGCCTGGATCCCTGCTATGATTTCAACCATGTGAAGATTATGTATTCACATATAACAGACCTGGAGAACAAAATAAATCAACATACTTTGGGAGTGGTTGAATTTTGGATGATGTTTACAAATTGTCATGAATATCATTTCATGAAATAATATTAATAGATTTCAGTAAAGATGGAAGAAAACACTGAGAAGAGGCACAGTCAGCTCCTGCCAGTGGCCACGTGTTTCAGTTTAACGCACATGAATACAATGGCCTAAAACTAAAGAACACTAGGCATTTGCACTAGCCTGCGCGTGGGCGGGACACTCAGTCAGGTCCTGAGAGTTTCCTCACTTCAGTGGGTTGACATGAGATGACAAAAGGAGTGAGCCCCTCCCTTGCAGCCTGTTCATGTGACAAGGGTTGCGATTTCCTGCCATTGCACCAGGAGGCAAGGACCCCAGCTGCTGAATCACGTCCAGGGCCTGCTGGGTAGGACAGCTTCTCTCCCTGAGGGAGGTGCCTTGTCGGGTATTGAGTCTGCAGCATCTCAGCTTGAACCTGCGCTGTGCTCAACTTGTGGGGACGGCAGCCCCGGCCTCGGTCTGTCTGCTTGAGTGTCAGAGAAGCCTCCTGCAAGAGACATTTTCTGAGGCAGAGGACGGGTGACATGCACAGATGCAGCCAAGAATGAGGCCTTAGCTCCTGAGGTGAGAGAAGACCCACTAGTCAGGAACATGGTCCCCCAGCCAGGTCCCCTAGGAGGTATCTGGGTCTTGAGCAGAGATAGAGGGAGCTGTTTTCCCAGAAACCCCTGATCACACTGCTTTGGAACCATGTAAAAAAGCAGAGGAGGAGAGATTTTCTCCCATTTCATCAGAGGAAGTGGATGTGGCTGCCACAAGGGAACCTGTGGGGCCCCAGTCCCCTTGGGCATGTGGGTGACGCACATGTGCTAGGCAGGCTTGTGGACAACACAGCAATGCTACACCACAATTTTGTTTTTGCTGTGGGCACTGTCGGGGGGCGATGCAGTGGTGGGGGCAATGGCAGCAGCAATGAACCAGCCTCCTTGGGCTGGAGGGCTGAGTGAGGCCTCAAGGAAGGAAAAGGGGACCCAGGTGCCAGATGCTGATGTCCTCCTCTCCCCTGACCCGGCCCAGGGGAGGACAAGTGTAGCTGGAGGGCGAAGCCAGCAGCACAGGAAGGACTTTGGATTCTGGACAAGGACTGAAAGAATATGGCCATAGTTGAGAAACTCACATTACAAATGTGTTCTCCTATCAGAGCGCTTAGGGGCAATCAGCACTTGAGAATGCTCCAGGCATTTGACTTCTGACCTTCCACGCAGAGAACAAACACATCTTTTGGAGCCTTGAAAGTTAATTTTGCAGTTGAAGTATTTATTGGTGCCAAGAATCCCCACTGGCTTTTTTTAGCTATCCATTGGTATTTGTAACACTAACCACACAATGACCATGAATCGGGGAGGAGGGAGTCATCTCCCGATTAACACAAGCTATTATTTCTCCAAGTCCAGGGGAAGCCTGGCTGGGCACGAATTCTTTGGGCTTCCAGGCTAGAAAGCCTGGTGGGAGTGTAATGCTCTTTAATAAAGAGAACCTGTTCCTCAGGCCCAGGAAAAGCTTTTAATGGTCTCCCTCTCATTTTTTATTTTTCCTGGCATTTAACGACGTGTTTTGCACATCAATAGGACTGAGAGGCTCCTGGAGCTGGAGTGAGCTCCAGCCTCAGAAGAAGAAAACCTACCCAGATGCGAACCTTCCAGCTGCTGGGCTGAGTGAGCACACAAAGGCCTGCAAGTACTTCACTCTTGACAGGGAGCAACCTAGCTAATTTCCTCCCTGGGGCTCAGAGAGCAAAGAGACTGTCCAGGTGGCTGCTCTGCACTAAATCACATGGAGTTTTACGATGCCCAGTATCCTCTTAGAGACACGCATGAGCTCAAACCCATTTTAAACAGTGACCTGTAGGGGATTTACGATCTCCAGGAGGGAGCGCTGTCCCTGACCAGGCTCTCTTATATTGCTTTTGATACTTATCTCAAGTGCTTGAAAACAGCTTGGAGAGTGGTGAAGAACATTGAAACTACTATCCCTCTTCTGTTCTAGGTGTGTGGTGGAGGCCTAAGTCGGCCTACAGGTGGGAAAGTGTGCCCTGGTAGAAGCTTGCCTCTCCCCGTCCCAAACAGAAAACCACTCAGGATTGCTGGAGCATCCCTGGGCATTGGAAGCGACCAGTGATGGGCATGTAGAAAGGCCTAGAAGCCATGGTGTCATCAGGGCAGGATTAGACTAGGCTGCCAAGATGGCAGCCCCTTCCTCTCAAGGGTGGGCAACTGGTCTGTCTCCACAGACAGTGACCACAGCTCCAGCCCACTCAGAGGAGCCCCATTTCTGTTGAGAGTTTCCTCTGGGTTGGATCTCGTGAGCAGAGCAAGTTGTCTCTTTTCTCTTGGCAATGGTTAGTTTGACTGGGAAGGCCTGGAAAATTTCCTCTCCTCCTCCTGTCACTTTTCTCTTTTATCTCTCCCTTCTCTTTGTAGGATGGCTGCTTACTTTTCAGTAACTGTGGGCTAATAATCTGACCAGAAGAAGGTGAACCCTTAGAAGTAATGTTCGTCACCTTCCATGTAAAATTAAAGATATGCTTTAGCAAGGCCACAGAAATAGAACCATCTTGGATGAAGGAGTGAAATAGTGTGAAAGGCCAGGAGGTAAGCAGAGGATAAATGAAAGCCTGTTCTTGATGATACTGGTGCTGATGTCTTCTACAGATTTAATAAAGGACTCTAAGTCTCCATCATAACTTTTGGAGGCAAGGTTATTTGAGGACCTTGGACGAGCTGAGACACACAGTATAGGGGCTCACCGAATTCTGCATAAAGGAGAAAAAAATCAACATAGCCTATTGTGTCCAGTGATTTTCATACAAATTTGCCATTTGGCAGGAATTTATCTTCCAGAATACATGTCTGGGGTGAAATGTGGAACCATTGTTTTTTGAGAGTGAGGCAAATAGAAAGTTCAGCACAGACACACATACACCCCCTTCTCATTTGGAGAGGTTGGTCTTTTGTTCTAGGAGTCTGGTACTGTGCCCAAGCAGGTGCATGCATTCATCACAGCTTTTAATTTGTCAGATCTTGGCTTTCTCTGTCTTGGGTAGATTCTAAAACCTTCCAGTCATTTCTAGATGCCCACATCCCATGCTAGTACAATTTAGTACTGTCATTTCATATCACCCTTAATTTCATTTCTTGCCTCTCCCTCATTGGTTCCTTCAATCCTCCTCCCAATTCGGCCATCCTGGAGAGGAGGGCAGAAGGTTATGTCTAGTTTTGGTTATATGATCTCTCTCCCTTGTAAAGCCTGTTTCAGGGTGTAGGGGCTGGGAGAGGGAACGGGAGGGAGGGGTTCCCTCCTGGACTTCACACCCAGGCTGTCATACCGCCATGTTGGTTGTTGTGGTCATTTACCTTCACAAATGCAATATTACATTATTACAATTTTTATTGTGTTAACAGTGCAGAAACTAATTAACATTTCCATAATAAAAAGGATCAAGTAAATTTCAAGGTTTACTTTCTTTCCTTTGTTTTAATATATTATTGTCATTATTATACACTTATTTATGGTTTCCAAGAGGACAGACCTGGCCAATGATGACAGAGCAGACTGAATTACCTGTATTTTGTCCAGAACTCCGGTGCTATCCATCCTACTGGCCACATTTACAGTGTTGCCCCAGATATCATATTGTGGCTTCTGAGCTCCAATTACACCAGCTATTACAGGTCCATGATTAATACCTGTGGCACATCAGAATTGGATTCAAATGATAGTAACTGTCTTAAACAGAAAAGTTTTATAAGAACGTTCCTGAATCATCACTACTGAACAAAGATTAAGCCAACTCATAGAACCCTAGAGCAAAGAAAAATTACTCCTCTATCATCTCAAAAACATTAAAACTATGTTCGTCCTTTTTTCCCTTCTGGACCTTGATTCATGCTATATGTCCATTTATCATTATTCCATAATAACATAAAATTATGTTTTAAAAAAGTGAACATTGTGATATAATTATTTTTCTATGTTGCTATATAGTCTTAAGGAAGAAATGATCATTATATTGTATTCCATTACTTTTGTACTTAACGTTAATTTTGAAATATACATATATTTTTCTTTTCTTTTCAATGAGTTAATGCACTTTTATGGAAGGTTTTTTTGTGGGGTTTTTTTTTGCAAGGAAACCCTTGATTATGGAGGGTGTTTCTGAGAGATTTCATTTCCCACTGCTGAACTGCATGGTTCTACAGCCTGTTACAGATCTGAGGCCAGGCTTCCTCTTTGCAGTGGAAAGACAGGCAGGAAGTGCCATACAAACACTGGTCCACCTAATTGTCCAAGGCTCACAAGAGGTGAGAGAGAAATTCTCCTTTGCTTTTGTGCAGTACTCAATAAAACTCACACCTCTGCTTTAGACATCCCAAATAGTTCATTCGAGCAGCTGGCTGGTGATCTCAGCCCCCTCTGCCATCAGCGTTTCTTCTGACTGTTGAGTCCTGCTTGCTCAACAGCTCGGGGAAAGGGAGAAAGCCTGGACTGATGATCGCCGGCAATGGGGCGATCTCTATTAGTGCAGGCATCTGCTTGATTTGTGGTTCCCATTAACCGACTGCTTTTAGGCTTGATGTGCAGAAAAGGATGTCAAAAGTGAATTCGATTCTTCTTATTTGAATCATCGTTTTTGGGGGTGCAATATTACTGTTCTGAGTTCCTACAGTGAAGTGCTACCGGAAGGCGCCATGCACCAAGGTGGGGCAGGGAAGCGGCCACCTGGGAGAGGCCGAGGGTTTGGGGAAAGGCAGACTCAAAGGCCAGGTGAAACACTGAGCTTAGGCTTCCTTAGAAATCTAAAAGAGCTGGCATGTGGGGTGAGTGCATAGGTATTAATCGTTACTCAATAATCAGTATAAAGGAAGCACTCAATAATAGGTATTGAATCGGAGGTCCATTCAATCAATTGCTCATTAATTTGGAAAATATTATTATGGTCCAGACCAAGAACACTGTGCTTTGGATGTACACATGTGACTCACAAATAATCATCCCTGTTCCACCTCACAATGAAGAGCAATGATTTTGGTCCCTATATGTTTGACAATAGAGGGGTCATTCTGCCACACGATAGATTTTTTTTTTAGAGCAGGGCAGTATGAAAGTTTGAGAAGCCCAGTTTTGAAGCTGTCAAAACAATAGAGAAGTTCCAGGGTCAAAGGGACACCTCCACGCTTGATGTGGTCAGCCGGCTGACGGGGTGGCCTCCTGCCCGCCTGGCGCTACTCACATTTGTATACAGTAGAGCCTGGATAAAGGTCCACTGTGCATGGGGGTGAGAGAGTGTAAAGAAAATGTGTCCAGATGCTGATGATTAACAGGACATACATATGGTGAAGAGAATACCATTTGCTCAAAAGATGTGGAATATTTCTGGGTTTTAAAATTCAGAACATATGCAGAACAAAAGAAGAAAATAGCCCTAAATATTGGGATTTTTTAAAACGTTAAAATCTGTATGCAAAAGGAGTGAAAAGCCATTCAGAAGAAATTTGTTAAAAGAACTACTTTTACACGGACTTGCTTTCAGAAGAAGCAAAATGTTACCAAGAAAAACATAAAATGGTCAAAGAAGCTCTTACAGATCACGAATGGCTGCAAGTAACTGCACACATCACAAGGCAGCTGTGTGCGAACCTGAGGGCTTCAAACACACTTCTTTTTGTTTTTTTGATAGACATTTGTAAAAGGCACATAAGCATGGAACATGCTCAAGAATCAACCTAAAGTAAGGGAAGAACTTACTAGAAATTTTTTTTCACTTGAAAGAAAGTTGGCTTTTTCTCTCAGATTTGAACATGCAATCTGAAAAGCTGCAGCTTTTTGAGCACCTAGCACACACGTGTGGGGTTCTTGGAAGTTGTGACGCCAGGAGTGTGTGACTATTTGAATCATTCTAAGATTTTTTTTTTATTTCTACATCTCCGAAGTCTGGATGCATCTTATAGCCTGTGGTGGGTCCCTGTTTCATTGGCAGCAGTCCATAAAATAATGGAGCGGCTTATAGCCCATGGCTTAAACCAGCTCCTCAGGACAGCTTAAGGCTATACATGCCACGGCTTGCCGAGGGACCCTAGCTGGAAGGACAAGGGTAGTGGGACTGAAATCCAGTTCACAGGCCACTTGCTAACCCAAGTGCTTGCAGCCTGAGTCCACCCAAAGAAGATATTTTTTTCTAATTTGTACAAAAGTGCCTCAGGGGCTCATAATTTCCCTGAGTCCTTCCACCTGCAAGCCAGTCCTGCAGCTCTAAGGACACATTTGTCATTGTTTTACTCCAACATGGCAAGGATGATTGACATTTCCTGAGAACTTATTCCTTGTTCCACTCCTTCTCCACAACCGAAAGCAGATCTCGGCACAACTCACCCACTCGCAACTTGAAGTCGTTGAAGGAGTGCTTGTTGATGGCGTCCAGTTTGGCCACCAGCGCAAAGGCGAACTCCACCATGGTGCCTATGTGCATGTACTGCCTCTCGGGCTCCTGAGGAGAGACCAACACGCAGACCGGGTTAGAGCTCAACCAGCGGGAAGGACTCCCTTCAGTCACAAACCTGGACTCCGGCCCCAAAGGAACGCTTACGAATGATGACGCCTGATGCACTGCAGACGTTTTGTAAGAATTAATTCTCATCTCAAGGAAGCACTGTGTCCAAATTCATTTTTGTGCCAGGGGGAGACATGAAACCCTAGAAGACCCTGAGCAGGGCCTACACTGTTTTAACCCAGAAATCGCCAACCAGGAGCCACCTTGGGGAAGGGCTGGCTGCGTGTTCCCTGTTGCCCCTCACACCCTTGTCCAAGGGGTTCTGGCTCCGGGAGGCTGACCTCCAGGGCCTGCACTTCCTGTCCTCTTGTTTCCTGTTGGATTTACCAGTGGGAGGGCCAGGGGGCGGTTCAGGGGCGGGAGCAGAGAGGGGTGAGGGGAATCCCTCCTCCTCTTCCCCACCAGTCATCTGCTACAGCTCTCCCTGGGTCTGGAAACACCGCTCCCTCCTTTTGCCCCTTCTGGGGTGCTGAACTGTGTCCCTCTCAAAATGTGTATGTTGGAGTCCTAATCCCAGAACCTCAGAATGTGACTGTATTTGGAGATGGAGTCTTTAAAGATGTAATTAAGATTAAATTAGGTCATCCGTATGACTAATCCAGTATGACTGCTGTCCTTGTGTGTAGAGATTAGGGTACCGACACACACACACACAGAGAAGACCATGTGAGGACAGGTGAGAAAACGGCCACCTACAACCCAAGGAGAGAGGCCTCAGGAGAAACCAACCCTGTGGGCACCTTGATCTCGGACTGCCAGCCTTTAGGATTCTGAGAAAATAACTTTCTATTGTTTAAGGCACCAGGTCTGTGTCACTTTGTTAGGCCAGCTGGAGCAAACTAACACAGGAGGTAACAATTTTCCGCCTTTCCTCGTGTCTGGGTGTTTCTCATCCCTTGAGGAATAGGGCTATCATACGTATGGAGCTGAAGGAGAAGAAAAGGGCAAGGTTTCCAATGAAAATAAGTGGAAATTTCTATTTACTATTAATTCATATTTATTATTCCTGTTGCTAATTTACATTTGTCATTCATTTGTAACACCTAACTATATTTTTGTTTATTTTTGAAGTTGATCTTTAAATAATTTCTATTTCTGGTTATATTGTAAAAATAGATTATTAGTATATGTATATAACTCACAAAATGTATTTACATGTCCTGAAGGTTCCTGCTCCCCCAATATTTAATGATTGGGTGCACCAAGACGGTTTGGAGCACAGCCTCTGTTCAGCCTGCCTAGAGAAATGCAGTCCCAGCTCTGCCGGCAGGCCTGCCTGTGCATCTGTGGCTTGCGATACGGATGTCCACCTCAGTACTAAAATCAGTGTGGTCTTTCTTTTGTCCCCCTCACTAGTTTGTGAGCACCACAAGGGCGGAGACTATGTTCTATTAATCTGTGTCTCCACAATGAGAAAGTGTCTGCCACAGGAGAAGCACTTGATAAATGTTTATGGAGAGACAACACTTAGGTTAACGGTGGGGGAGCCAAGAGGAAGTGGCTGGGAGGAAGAGAGAGAATCAACAAGCTTTGGTGGGAGGTCAAAGCCAATTGATGCTCAGCTGGGGAGCACGCACTCAGGAGGGATCAGCCACCATCCACTAAAGTGGGGGAGGGCTGCAAGGGAAGAAAAGGACAGAATCTTAGAGGGTGAGCTGGGAGCGCCCCAGGTGGGCCGTGGGAGGGAAGTGGGGCGTCAGTAAAGGACACCGGAGTACTTGAGAAGAGAGTAGGAGAAACAGAACTGGACTTCTGGGACGAGGGTTTAATCCCACTGGGCCCCCGAGAAGCCCAATCAGAGATGGAAAAAGCTTTTGGGGGCAATCAAAGAGGAGGCACCTGGTGACCAACCACGGTGGGGGAGCATTGTCTACAGAGGGTGAAGATGAAAACCAACACTGAGGGTTTCAATAGGGATGAGTGAGAAGGAAAGTGGACGAGAACTGCTTATTCAAGATGACAGGGAGATGGAGGAAACCAAGGTAACAACCAAAGGAAAATGCAGATGACAAGAGGGCTATTCAGCCTCGTGCAATGCAAATCCCCACAGCATTTGTGCGCAGCGATGGACGAAGGAGAGCACTGATGCAGGTTTCTCTACCTTGGCAGTGGTGACATCTGGGGGATAATTCTCTGTTGTGGCGGATGGAGAGTGTCCCGTGCACTGTAGGATGTTGAGCAGGGTCCCTGCCTCCCACCCGACACCAGGAGCACCTCCCCTTCCAGTTGTGACACCAAAAGTGTCTCCAGACGTTAATAAATGTCCCCTAGGGGGCAAAATTGCTCCCAGTAGAGACCACACACTAAGTAATATAAATGGAGAAGAGAAAGTAAGTTTCTGATTCAGAGACAGAGTTCCTCCTTTCCTCAGGTGACTTATGTCATTCTAGAAAAAGACCAATGAAATACTACTGTTGCCATAAATCCTCCATTTAAAATTTTGGGAGAAAACCCAAATGATTTTTAAAATTGGAACTATGAAGCCAACTGCCACTAACTGGTGAAAATACAAAGAGTCATTTCTGGAGAACAATTACGCTTTTCTATCAGGGCTAATATTTCCTTTTTCTTTTTTCTTAAAGGCATGCTTTTTGGTGAGGAAGATTGGCCCTGAGCTAACATCTGTTGCCAAACTTCCTCTTTGTTTTCCCTTGCAAAGCCCCAGTACATAGTGTATATTCTAGTTGTAGGTCCTTCTAGTTCTTCTGTGTGGGACACCACCTCAGCATGGCTTGATGAGCGTGGCCCAGGTCCGTGCCCAGGATCCAAACTGGCGAACCCCGGGCTGCTGAAGCAGAGCATGCAAACTTAACCACTACACCGCTGGGTTGGCCCCAAGGGCTAATATTTCTTGTCTCATGACTGATGGGGAAAACATGATTTGGAGGTTTGTGCAGTCAGTTAGAAAACATCTTTCTCCTTAATGGGAAGCACACGCTGTTAAATCAACAGGCAGAATCCCGTGGCAGTAAAAATTACACTGTCCTAGCAAGGAGAACAGATTGGCCACGGGAGGAATGGTTTGCTTTTTACCGAATCAAGGGGCAGCAAACCAGCTCACTCCCTGATAAATTATGGTGCAGTCTGTTTTCACACAGTGAGATTAAACTGGAGGTTTTATGCGACCTCAGCGACAAATGAAGAGACTGAGTTCTGGGAGCGGGGTTTAAATGCAATGCAAGCAACTCATTTGAGCTTAGTAAACCCCAGAAAATATTATGCTCGGTCCCTAGAAGAACTCAGTTCATTTCAAAACTCCTTAGAACTGAGCTTTTGATAAATATTTGATGACAGTATGAAGTAGCGCTTTCTCCCGTGATCCAAATAACTTCTGCTGGATGTCTCCAAATATTTAACTGACTTCCGGCCACACAGTGAGATGACTCATTCGCTTCCCTGGAACACGTTTTGCAAGCTGTTTGTTTCAGAACTTTTGCCAGCAAGGAACACTACTTAAAGTAAATGCACGTTTATCGAGGTGCTCTGGTCATCCAAGGGACTGTTTGGTAACAAGTGAGGTAGTTTTTTAGGCTAAAATTAACACATGTGCCTCCTCTCCTCTCCTCTCCTCTCTTTCCTCTCCTCTTTCCCCTTCTTCCATCCATCAAATAGTCACTGAGCACCTGCCAAGCTGGTGTTGGTCTGATTTTGAAGATTTAGAACTGCTGTCTTAGCAGCAGCTTCTCCTGCCTGGAGCTCTGGGAGATGTGAGCAGACTTCACTGTTCTCTGAAGGGGCCACCTGCCTTCTCCCAGGTGAGCCGACCTTCACCGCATGAAGAGCGGCCCTCACTTGTCGGCTCATGACACCTGAGTTTCAGGCACTTGTTGGAGAACACAACTGGAGCTCACAACGTCTCAGTGTTTACCAAAACTCTGAGGCATGGAATAATATTTATGGGAAACAGCCTGATTGCTAGGCCAAAGAGTCAATAAATTTGGATTAAATTGGACTCTCACTGCTCTCCAAATGATTTCACTCTGCCGGAGAATGCACTTGGTTAAATACACATTAAGGGGTGTTCTGGCAAACATCCCCGCCCCCAACATTTTAAACCATTTTCCATGAGGAAGTTACGAAACAGTCTTCACTCTAGACCCATCGGCATATGTCTGAGGGCCTATTTATTAGAGCTGGCGCAGGGGCCCAGTGGAGCGCCCAACTCCAACTGCCTTGGTCTGGTTTTCAAATATATTAATGAATGAGTGAGTTGACCTTAAGATATGAACACTGAAACATAGTACTTGTGTTGACTGCTGGAAATTTCAGAACTAATACTAGCAGCCGTGCATGTATGTATGTGTGTAATCCTCACAATGACTCCCATGCAGGACTTCCTCTCTTTATCCCTGTTGTGCAGGTGGGGAAAAGGAACCCAGAGAGGTTTATCACTTGGGTAAGTGACACAACCACACAACCAGGCTTTGCAGCCAGACAGTCTGACTCCGGGGTCCTCAGTCTTAACAACTTTGCCATCTTGCCTCCTTCCCTGTGAGCATCTAGAACACAGGACGTTGCTATTTGCATTTTATGTATCATCCTCATCTTTCTTTCTATCTTATCTTTCAAGTTCCTTCTACTTTAGTTGATTGATTTTAAAATACTTTTGCATTGCATTTATTTTTGTAAGCTTCCTAAGGGAGAAATTTAAATAAAATATGCACAAACATGTACACAAATGGGTAAGCAGCTTTCCTCAATATTCTTGCTGATAAAATGGCGACACGTGGGCTGGCTGATGGGTCTAAGAGATATTCAGCTGATAGAGAACTCTACCCAAGAATTGTTCATAATGGCTCTGGGACTGGCCACCACCCATGCGGATGACTGAAATTCTCATTGGATGTCTTAGTGCAAACTCAAACTTCTGTACCTAAAACGAATATTATTATTTAATCTCCCACAAGACAACTCTTGTTCTTGACTCTCTCTTCCTT